ACCTTCAGTAATAGTAATAAATCACACAGCAATAGTTCATTCATGTAGTTGTAAAAAGCATTATAATGTATTAAGTAATCCAAAGTATTCTGAATACGTTACAAAATACATTTTGGGACATGTAATCTGTAGTGGAATACATTTTAAAAGTAACCTTCCCAACACTGGCTATGATTCGTTAACAGCAGCAACATCGTTTAAGGTAGAAGCAGGCCTCATTACAATAAACTTGATCAATAATCAAAAACAAATCTGGGGGGAAAGTTTTATATATTCATAATTACTAAGACGACATTTACTGGAGCTTAAACTTCAACACATGCACAAAGTATTTGTTCTTTTCTAACCTCCAACAACATGTTCGGTTCAATAGGTTTCGGTGGCCTGATGGACACAATTGTTTTAATTCAAACATTTAAACCACGCCCCCCCACGTGACCAGCAGAGACTTGTAGTCCACAGCGCACAAACACAACATATTGCATATAGAGAGCAGCCTGTGCATAATTATGTCATATAAGGAGGAATCTGGATGTTCTCCAAAAATAACCAACACATGGTCGGAGTCCAAATCAGCTTTACTGGTCCTCAGCTCTATGACACACACACACACACACACACACACACACACACACACACACACAGTGCAGCAGATGAGAATGCACTAAATCTGGATCCTGCTTCTTAACTACAGATTCATGAAGACGTCGTGCACGTTTTGGGGACAAAGCTTAATCCTTTACTCTCAAACAAGCTCCCCCCTCCCTCCTGCACTTAAAGCCCCACTGTGCTGCACTGGAAATCTGCTCTAACACACAAGGCGTTAGATAACTGTCTCAACATGTCAGCCACTCGCAGATCTGTGACAGCTTTACATGGTCTGCTGAGGATCAGTAGTCATCGCTTAGGGGGGGACGCGGTTCAAATTCGATTTTTCGTCTTGACAGGTGTTGTTGTGCTGATGCAAGTGAGGTGTGCTGTACACGAGTCGAATTAAGATCCCTCCACATGATTTCGAAATCTGCATCCGTGTCTCGTTCAGCCCTGCTTTCACACGTCTCAGCGGGGAAGAGGCCTCGGAGTTTTTATTTCCTCTTCCACTTTTGTAGACTCCGGCCAAAGAATCTTCCTCAATGAAATTGTGTCCATGTCAGCTCATGAATTTTGAGGAGCAACCCTGCATAAGCTAAGACGGCGCTTTTTGAGTATTCAACGTGAGTCCGAGACACGATGCTCTACAATCCCACAAAGAGACAACCGCTGACCATCTCGTCGTTATGAATTCTGTCCACATCCAGCCATTAGGCTGTTGGTGTATCTCTAAAGCCTGTTTGGGTCTCGGCGTTGTCTCCCCGTTGCTTCCTAAACCCCGTTATACTTGCTTGAGGTAAGAGAGAATGACGGCAGTCGTGCTTCCCTCCCGGCTCGTCTGCGAGACTCTGACACTAAGCCCATTATGCTTCCATTATGGGGCTTCAATTTTCCTCTGAGCTTTTCACTTCTGACACGGCAGCTCCCTCCCTCCTCAAACCGCAGACTCATACCCCCCGAGGCCCAGTGCTGCACGGCCGTTCAGTTAGGAACTTCAGTACATCTTTAAAGCACCAGTACTTTGCCCTGATTCTTATTCAACGGCAGTTATTCAAAATTGCACTAAGATGCACAATATAACAACGTTACATGCAAGCAGGCGTCAACAACAAAACATACGAGACAAAACTAACTTTGCACATTTATACTGCAGTAATGTTTTAGGGCAACTTTAATTTGACAGCAAAGTAATTAACTCTTGTGAGATTCAGCGTCTTCCTCAAGAAGCTGACGTGTGGAGACGGCTGCAAAACTAGTGACTGAGTACAATTAGCCACATAGCAACACAGCAAACCATATCATTTGTAAAATGTTATTAAAAAAGACACTAACACCACGTACACGACAGCAGTGTAGCCTTGCATGTACCTGAGGTGAGGCCTAGCATACAGTTAGTGACCGAGTTGGCACCCACCTGTCACGCCGGCCCAGACCCATCTTTAACTAATTTGGCGATCATGTGGAAAAATAAACTCCAAATGGATTCTCACAGGGAAAACAAATCCTTGCTATTCCTAACCAGTGTTGGTCAAGTTACTTGAAAAAAGTAATCAGTAACTAATTAC